ACCGTTTAATAAATGTATTATTTAATGTTGTACATAATGGAATGGAATAAGGGATAATAAGTAGCTTAAGTAAGCATATTCAGCTAGCATAGAACTGAAATATTACACTCTTGTAGTATTATTTTTTTCACCTAACTTTTTTTAGCATAATTCTTCATTTACCATTTTTTTATTGGATGAAAATGGAATGGTAACCCCGCCTGCGCTAACGGGATACGCTGGCGGAGCACCAGTGAAGGGTGATAGATGAGAATGAAAACAGGCCAGTTAGCCCATCATGATGAATTCATCAGGAATTAATGATGATAGTTTCCAGAGGGAACCGCGACGTCGACCTGGCTGGGTATATTGCTAGCAATGGAATTTTCGGTCTCCATTACTAACAATCCCTTTCCCTCCATTCAGTTACCAATTATGAGTCAATCGGAACATTTTATTAATATGATTAAACCTGGAGAAACGCCAAGTATACAACTAACAATAATATAAAGTAAAAACCAATAGGAAAACAAACGGATATAGGTATTGTATTGTATACAAATATGTATATTAAATTATTGTATATATATATATATATATATATATATATATATATATATATAAATATACATCTTCCGGCAACTATCCTTCAATGTAACGCAGTATACATGTATTAATATATTAATTCCTGTACTCGTGTTTGATTCTCTATCATTACGCATCTGCCTAATTGTGCGTAAACAAATATAGCTTTTATATGTACATTATTAGAGTTGGATGTAGTGTTTACGACCTGATTGGTATAGAGATTATGTACTAAGTTGGGGAGAGGACTGTCTCCTAGTGACCAGAAATAAAACCTGTGGGGTCAGCTTCCACGCAACCCGTTCTGGTTATTTTTATTTATTTTATTTTATTGGCACATAAAAAAGATCACAATCATAAATAATAAAAAACTACAAAAAAAAAAACTTAAATAGTTCAATTCAATTCAATTTATTCATAACAATATTACATTGTGTCGAATAGGTATGATAGGAATTTTACATATAAACAATGTCAGTACAATCAACGAATTAATAATAACAGTTTCAGTCAAAAAAAAAAAAAAAAAAAAAAAACAAGCAACCACAAACAACTCACAATTAATATAACCCTAAAATTCATTTATTTTATAAATACATTTTTCCAACAGAAAGGCATGGAGTTTGATTTTTAATATTCTCCAATTTTGGATAGTTTTCAGATCAATTGGTAATTTGTTATACAATTTCCTTCCCTGAAATTGCGCTCCATGTATAACTACGTTTAATCTTGGTTGTATGTCACTCATAATGTCTTTACGTCTAGAACTTGTACGCAATTCCCTTTCTTGTGTCGTTTCACATCTGGGTAGATTTTTAACAAAATTTACAATAACAATCAATACATATAGACTGGGCACTGTAAGTATGCGATACTTTTTAAAAAAGTCCCTGCAAGACTCCCACTGCGGAATACGAGCAATTATTCTTATTGCCTTTTTTTGTAGTCTAAAAGCTCTTTCTATATTATAATTGTAACTGTTTCCCCATAATTGAATACTATATCTAAATTTTGATTCCACTAACGAGTAATATACTGATTTCAGTTGATCTGTAGTTAGCACGTCCCTTAAACTCCTTAAAGCATAGCACGATGAACTAACACTATTACCGATGGAGTGCAATTCACTTTTCCAGTTCAATGCTGAGTCAATCTGTACCCCTAGAAATTTTACATCATTTACTATTGCAATTCTTTCGTCGTTTAAGAGAACGTCCAAAGTGTCCTTGTTTTTTGCAGTAGACTTAAATAGTATGGCGCACGTCTTTTCCACGTTTAGTTTTAATCCATTAGCAGAAAACCAATCATCAAGAAGCACTACTAATTTGTTAATTTTTATCGTTAGTTCTTGCATGTCAACAGCGGAAACTATGGCATTTGTGTCATCTGCGAATATAACCAATTCAACATTGTTCAATGAATTATAGATATAGTCTACTAGATCGTTGATAAATAAGATAAAGAATATTGGACCCAATATTGAGCCTTGTGGTACGCCCCTCTTAATGACCGTCAATTTGGATGTATGTGAGGTTTCATAATTATTTTCTATATTTTTGATTTCAATGTATTGTCTACGATTATTAAAATAAGATTTTATTATTTCAAGTGCCTGTCCATATATACCATAATACTCAAGTTTACTTAAGAGAATGTCGTGGTCAACTGTATCAAAAGCTGAATTCAAGTCCAAAAAAAGCCCTGCAACCTTTTTCCTGTCATTCAATTTATTTAGAACGTCATTTATAAGAGTTCCCATCGCATCCGCCGTACTTATGCCATTCTGATATCCAAACTGTCTTTTATTAAGTATGTTATTTTCAGCTATATGCTTAAGAATTCTAGATTTTATTAATGTTTCAAATATTTTAGAAAGTGTTGGCAGTAATGAGATTGGTCTGTAATTTTTGGGGTCAAGCTTGGATTAGTTACATTTGTGATTCGGCTAGGTTATAAATCCAATTACATTATGTGCACAGCTCGATTAATTCATGAAAAGCAAATATAAAATTAAAAAAAAAAAATTATATAAATATATAAAAGATAAAACTATATAACTAAATAATTGATAATAATGAAATGGTAACTTCGCCTGCGCCATCAAAGGTAAAGTACCAGTGAAGGATAATAGAAGGAGGATGAAACAGGTCTAGTTTTTTTTTTTTTAATGGATGATAATGGAATGGTAACTCTGCCTGCGCTATCGGTATCCACCGGCGGGGCACCAGTGAGAAATGATAGGTGAGAATGAAAGAGCAAGTCAGTTAGCCCATCGTGATAAATACACCTGGAATTCAGCACGATGGTGTCCAGGGGAGACCAAGTAGAGGTTGGCTGACGGGGTATACTGCTAGCAATGGAACTAGCATTCCGCATTATTAACAACTCCCCCCCCCCCCTTAAACAGGTTTGTTAGCCCATCATAAAGAATTCAACAAGAAATTATTAATTAAAAAGGCGAATCCTAGGGTAGGTACAAAGCAATTCTGAAGTGGACAGGGCCCCACTTTGAATAACACCTATAGGTTTTTTATGTAACTTAGAATGGCAAACAAGCTGACGGCCCACCTGATGGAAAGTAGTAACCGTCGCCTATAGACATAAGCAGTAACATGGACATAACAGAGTATACTCTTTCGCCCAAGTCAAATATAATAAGGTAAGTCATATCAGAGGCCTTTGTGTCGAAGGCGACCTAGAAACACTTGATTTCAGAGGGCGACACCCTCGCACAAGTAATAACTACATTCCACGACGACAAAGACCTTTTATTGACTGTTATTTTATTGTACTAATTTTGAACGTCAATACTAGTATACTTCAGCTTGCTCCACTGAACTGTAGACATTGGAATTTGTGTCAAATCATGGACTTACTATAGCTTCACGAATTTTATAGGCTTGATAATTATATGGCATCTAAAACGAGTGCCTAGGTACATAAGATTTTGTAATCTGCCAGAATCGAAGTCATGCCATTTATGTCCATGGTATGGTACTGTTCATGTCTATAGGCGACGGTTACTACTTGTCATCAGGTGGGCCGTCAGCTTGTTTGCCATTCTAAGTTGCATAAAATAAAAAAATAAAAATGCCATACTCTAATTCATATAAATTTTGTGAATTGCAACCGTAAATTAAAACAAAACGTTTGTATCTATTACGTAAATATTTATATAATAAATCTTCAACTTTTTTAATAAATAATGTCATTAAATAGGTTGAAAACTTATCTATCGACCACTGCTGCAAATAGGTGTCCCTCAATACCTCAAAGTTCAATTCCGCGCCATTTGGATACAATGAGTCTCTTTAACACTTTTGCTTTTGCGGTCGTCACCCTATCTTGGAAAGGGTCAACCAACTAAGAGGTATTCATATCGTAATCTGGATGAACTTTGGTTGCTTGTATCAGCCGTTAACTGTCTATTGCTGAACATAGGCCTCCCCCATAAATAATGTTTTGAGAATAGTGGCCAAGCTTGACAAGTTATCAACCATAGTTAGACTATGGTCACGTTTTGGAACGCTGCTGCTCATCCTTTAACTATTAAATTCTCCTAATCGCCTCTTACGACACCCACAGGAAAAAGGGATAGCTAATTCTATGCTGGAACCATACCATGCTACGCTTGTCTTCATATAATATTAATTATATAAACATACTTATAAATGCGATTCATGATAAAGGAAACACTAAGTGTATAGGAAGGTTGAAGATACGGCCTGGAATAGAGCTGGATGGAAGAAAATGCATGAATTAGTTGCACCGACAAGAGATAACTCTTAAATTAAAAGAGAAGATACATGATTCTATTGTTTTTATTATAAATGTAATATTATTATACATTCCTGCATGCGATTCATTTTTCAGTCTTAATTTTCACAAGCAGGGTGAAGTCTATACAATCAATATTCTTTTAAGAGATTTATTTAAACCAACCAAAATATATAGCTTGCCATATTATTTTCATCACAAGCATATCAGCTTAGAGAGGAGTATAAAAATTTTTGTCCACTTTCGCTGCATGTTCGTTTTGAAAAAAAGTTCACCTTTATTGTTAAAAAAGTCCTTCGGTTAAAAAGCCTGATGATATGTTATATCACCCAATTGAACAATTTGAAATTATTTCAAAGGTAGGAAATTCTTTTAAAAGTTATGCCATTTATTTTAATTTCAACCTGTACATCAATAACTTAAAGCCCCATCGATGAATACGCTATAATTTTTTTCTTTGCATTCAAATTTATGTAACTAATAATAAAGACATTTAAGTACGTTATTTTTATCTCTTTAGCTTAATTTCTTTTATAAATTTATATTAATTCTCTTCTCCTCTATACACGTGTATGGAAAAAAAATATGTAAAATAAATATATATATATATATATATATATATATATATATATATATATATGATTAGTCAGTATAAACGATGCAAGCGTTAATGACAACCGAGTCGATATAAATGTGTGCGCAAGAGTCGCTGCGCATTTTATTTACTTGCTGATTGCGCGCGCGGCTCCCGTGTTAAGTGTAACAAAAATGGCCGCTTATTTCGTAAGTTTTTCTTTTTATTAAATATTTTTTTTAACACATTCTCATATAATTCTATTTGTAATTGTGGCTCTATTTATTACAGTAATATATCTCTGTTATACTTTATTAAAAATTTCCAAAAATAATATTTAAAATAGTCTACGAATGTTCTGTCTATCCCACACAGAGATTGTAGCCGTAAAATATATTTGTTTATTTAAATAATTTAAATTCTCACAGAATAATTATTTAAGACATTAATCATGCTGTCTTTATTAAATTATCAATGAAATATTGAATTGTGATGGTGAAATTTATTCAAAAAATTCAAAAACAAAATATGAAGAATCTAATTTATTGTAGATATTTCATATTTCTTGTACTGTTACCTCACTACAAGAATCCTTTTTAAATAATTAATCAGAGTTATTGAAATTTCTTTAATTTTGCATGTTTTATGAATGAGATACTTGTATTTAACGTGATTATTTTATAAGTTTAAAACATTATTTTTTTAAGATAAACAATACAAATAATGCCACACATTGGTGTAAACACTTTTAAAGAGTAATAGTAGAAATTAAACATTTTTTTTTTAATAAACAATACAAATAATGCCAAACTTTGGTATAAGCACTCTTAAAAGAGTAACAGTCGAATTTGTTTCAAAGTTCTTTTTTGATGAAATTATTTTCCAAACTAGTAGCAAACTTGTCTTATCACGACAGTCTTAGAATTACATGAAGATTTTCAAAATACAGGTCCAATTCTAAACCACCATAGAACCATAGCGTAGCACCATAATTTGATTTCTTTTAACACTAAACCTATTTTTAAAACGTTCATAGCTTCGCGATAATATTATTTATTATAAATATAATATCAATATTATTATAAATTTTGTTCAAATTTTAATTTGTAAGGACGGATTAAAAAACTGTAACACAAAGTCGGTGCTATTTAGGCACAAAAAAATTAGATTCACAGGATATTATCTATTAGAAAATTGGATATAAATTGTATCAGAAATTTACTATTGCTTATTAAATTAAAGATTTAAAAGATATTGTTTATATTATGTTAGAGATTTATATTTCTCTATTAGTAGTTTTTCTTTTTTTTTTTTACTAACATAGTTTGTAAGAAAATTGTTACTAACAAAATTGGACCGCATTGTAGTCTGGATAATAAAGTATTATTATATTATTATTAGAATAGAGATTTGAAAAATATTATCACACAAAAAAGGGCGGTTTCAAATGTGACAAACATAAAACTAATATAAAAATAAACAGTACTGAATGCAAAAACAATTAAATGCTACAATTACATAATATAGTCGAATTAACCTTCTCTTTTTATTGAAGACACTTAAAATAACCTCCGTATAGGTCCGCGTAATAAATTAAAATTTAACAAGAGCATGAAAACATAATAAAAAAAAAATATAATAGCCTATTATAAATGAACTCAAATGTACAGTAATGTCACAAGCATATAAAGTGACCCATTTCAATCAACGTTTAAAATTTATAAACAGTGCGGCAAATTACAATCATTTTGCTCGTCCAAAACCCATAAATAGAAGTCGCATGCTTAATCCGAATTAATTTGTAATTATTAAAATTCATTACACACATATATGGTCTTTTGTAGAAAATGGGACAAATAAATAAAACCTTATTTGTTATTCAAAAGTCAACACAAACATTAGTATACAAATAATAAAACTTTTGCGTTTCCATTTTTTTTTTTAACATCAATGTTTTGGTTTTATGTGCGGCGGATATTAATTGTATGTTAGGAAGCAGAATAGGTTTTTTTATGGGTAATAATGGAATGATAACCCTGCCTGCGTTAATGGTATACACTGGCGGGGTACCAGTGAGGGATGATAGGTGAAGATGAAAAGGGAGGTCAGTTAACCCATCGTGATAAATACGAGTACATTTGGAATTCAACACGATAGTTTCTTACGACCACGTGGAGGTCGACCTGACAGAATATATTGTTAGCAATGGAAATGGTAGTCCGCATTACTAACGATCCCTTCCTCCGACTAGAATAGGTTAGGAATTTTTTTAATTTATTTAATTTACAACTTACCTTTTTATGCTACTAGTTTTATAAACATATAAAGTAATCTAAAATGTTTGAATTTGGAACATGACGTTCGTGTAATTAGCAATGTTTTACTTCAAAAAGAAGACGGTAGCTTTGACAGGCACATAGTAAAAGAGGCAAATACAAAAGATCATGGAAGGGCCGCAGTGAAACACGTTTATTTGCCTGAAATAGCCAGTCTTTCAGTGATAATAATAATAGTCACACAGTGTGTCATATCGATTCTTCTTCTTCTTTCTTCATCTACATCATCTTCCTGCCTGTTTAAAATTAACCTTTTTATATTTAGACAATTGTAGTTTTTTTTTTATAAAAAAAAAGACTATTTATAAACAATTGAAAAAGAACAAAATATACATATACTTATATATATATATACTTCAAGTCAACAGACGGTAATTTTATTTTACAACTAATATAATTAATAAATAATATATACAAAAGAAGAACCAGCTTATTTTACAAACACTGTCCTTTTTCCTATATATTTGGAGTCGGCGTAATATGTATTCGTATTGAAATTGCATTACAAAAAAACGACACAAACATGTTCATCTAACATATCTCCAAAAACTAAACAAATCAAGAATCTGCTTTTTGGGTAATCACTCAAAACGAGTGACCCTTTATACGGGATAATCACTCGTTATCGATGTACATTTTATAATAACTGGATATCATTAACTGAACCTTAGGAAATCAGGTCGTATGAAGTGGGTATGTATGTTTGCGGGCATCCAACGACGCGAATCCCGCGCTGTCAACGTCCGTAATTACATCAAAATTACAGTTTTGCCGTCACCTTGCGTTACTGTGATGCAATAAAAGGAATAAATAACTCTATGCGACAAAGACGGTTACTTGCCAACATACTTGGCTAAATACCTGTGACAGGTCCGCTATTTGGAACACTTTTGAAACGCGGAAAGGGGAGGTGTACTTTTCTAATGCGTAAAATGGTAATTTACACCATTCTTACTTTGTGGTGGAATTAAGCACGTCAGAGATCTGAAGCGGCGTAGCTGAATAATGCCTTCAGTTTAAGAAGTTAATGTAATTCTACAAGCTTTTCAATCGACTTCAGAAAGAAAGAGATTTTTAATTCGGTTGTTATTTTTTTAGGTTTGTTACCTCATAACTGTGTCAGTTGTAATCCGATTTGGAACATTCGTCTATTATATGAAAGTATATAAGTACAGTTAAGTTTCGTAGAAATTTTATAAAAATCAATTTAGTAGTCTAGTTTTTAAAACAACTAACTGGTTTTAGTACAATTGAAGTCATTTTTTCAATATGTATATAAATACTAGCTGACTCGGCAAACATTGTTTTACCATATACATTATTTCGAGAACTATACATGAAAATTTATCTTACTAAAATTATTATATTCGATTACCATCTTACCAACCCTATTGCGGTATATAAAAATCGCGATTAAAAAACAGGGGTTGATCGTAAAAGCGTGAAAATGGGAATTTGTATGTATTTTTCAATGCTAAATCATAATAAAATAAAAATAAAAAATTTTGTCAATAAAATAAAAAAAAATTAGGGGTGGGTTACCCTTTTCATTGAGAGATATGAAAAATAGATGTTGGCCGATCCTCAGACCTACCCAATATGCACACAAAATTTCATAAAAATCGGTTATGCCGTTTCGGAGGAATTTGGTAACAAACACCGTGACACGAGAATTCTATATATTAGATTATGATATATCCTATATATATATATATATATATATATATATATATATATATATATATATATATATATATATATATATATATATATATAACAAAAAAAAAAATCAAATTGCTTTACAACATTAAATCATTCATTTAAAAATAATTTATATCTGGTACAGACTAATATTGTTAAAATTTTGTGGGCCCTGGTTGCCTTGATTAAAGAATTTATTTATTATTATTATGTATAAAAAAGTACAACCCAATTGAAAAGCACTTTTTGAAGTCGGTTAATAATGACGATGTGCCCTAGAATTTCACTATAGTAATATTACAAGCTAAAAATAACAAGGACAAATAAAAACAAACGTACGGACGGCGCGTTTGTCGGCTTTTATGTTATATTCGGTCATAAACATGACAATGTTCGCAAAAAATAATAAAATTCCATGGAATCGTCGTCCAAATCTCATGTTGCATGATTCACGTACATATATTCAAAAGGTACTGACATAGGACAGAGTTTGATGACCTCTTTATGGTGTCCATGACGATAACTTGCTAAATTGTCTATGAAAACATAAGTTTATCTTAGCGTCCAGGTGCATTACGAGATTTTTTATGAGAAGGGAATGGTTGTCCTGACTGTGTTATGAATTCAAAATAAACAGAATAGAGATAAATAAAGAGGAAATTAGGTCAATTAAACCATTTTTATTAATCACTTCAAAATTCTATGAAGAAAATACGGTATAGAGTAGACGTAGCCATCTTGACTAGACCCACGAACTACTGTTTACCGACGAAACCCTGTGCGATCTACCAATTACGTACTTTTTGAAATCACAAATGTAACAACATAGTTCAACACCCAATTATGTAGTATTGTAGTTTTTTTTTTTTTTATTAAAAGATAAAAAATAAACCTGAAAATTATTCTTAGTAACTACTTATTTACATTAAAGTGAGCATTGTGTCTGAGCATCTTCTATCTGAGCAAAATATAATATTTTTGCCTTGCTACGATCGACTGGACTAATAGCCGCGATCTACCGATTGGCCACCCTTATATATGACCCTATAGAGTCTATCTTATTATGAGAGATTAGTCTAGCTTTTTCTAAATACCTGCCTGGGGGAAAGGGATTGCCAGTAATGAAGTATATCAGTCACATTGCTACCTACCCTATCAGGTGACCGTCACGT